AAAGAATGGTATCCCGAATTGAAAGATATTGTATTATTAATTCAAGTAATCATTAATCATAGGAATCTGGAATACTTTATTACAACAAAGCTATTAAACTGCTGTTAAACCTACTGGTCTAAATTTCTATTTCGATTTAATTTCCAAATCACTTATCACTCTGGAAAGCTAGATATCAAACCCGATATACTAATCAAAAGGTTAGAAGATCTCCCTAAGAAGAGGAATGAATACCTTCTGTACTAAAGCCGTATTATTCTGAAACGAAAGAACCTGGATTCCGATCTGTTTTCCGCTATTGTTACCCTAATCAAACCCAAGATTACCAAAAGAGTACACTTTATTATAACCATTTATAGTTAAAGAAACCTCAACCCTATTGATATTATTAATTACTTGGATTTTGATGATACCATAATTTTGTTAGAAAATGGCAAAGTTATAGAGTCTGCAATTCTATATATCATATCTATATCTAATTTTGTAATATAATTAGAGAATCTAGAAAACCCTCTAAATCTTTTTGTCAATCTGTTTACCCTGTTTCATGAAGGCTATCAAGCTGACCCTGTATCTGAATCTGTTCTGAAATCCCTACAAAAGGGATTCCCAAAACACTTGAAAATCACTTTTACTAAATATATCGAAAACAATAATCTGCTGTATTATTAAGGAAAACTATACGTTCCCGATCACAACCTTCTGAAAACCTATCTACTTTATTTGTACTACGAATCGCTTATTGCTGATTACTTGCATTATATCCGAACCTTCGAATTATTATCCTAAAACTATTATTAGTCTGGATACTATAATTATATTATACAATGAGTTCATAACTGCTATAGTTGTTATTATGCTGTCTTGAATTGTAGAGATTAGAAGGGAATTCTCTGCTTGCTTCCGATTCTGTAAAGAGTTTGACAAGATATCTCAATAGATTTCATTATATATCTGCCTGAAAGTATTGGTTTCGATATTATTATGATAATAATCGACCGATTAACGAAAATGAAATATTTCTTGCCTTGTTATAGTATCTGCAACTCTGAAAAGATTGCCTATTTGTTTCGAAAGAATATCTGGAAGCTCCACAGTTTACCCCTGATCATTATATCTGATCGTGGAGCTCAATTTGTTTCTGAATTCTGAAAATATATCTGTAAGTGCTTGAGTGTAGCCGCTAAGCTTTCAACTGTTTACTATCCTGAAATTGATAAATAAATCGAAAGGGCTAATGCGATATTAGAACAATACCTCTGATTATATATAGCCTACCTGCAAGACGATTGGGCAGAATGGCTCCTATTTATTGAATTTTCTATTAATAATATCTAATCTAAAAGCACCCGAATAATCTCATTTTTCTCGAATTACAGATTCCATTTCTGCCTGAGCTTCGAGCCTGTATTATTCTAGAATAACTATTCTGCTATACAAAATGCTAAAAAATTCATTATTAAAATGAAAGCTATTTTTTTATATCTATAAACCAAACTAACTGTTAGTCAAACCTGATACTTGAAAAATATTGATGTCTATTGTTCCCCTGCCTATAGATATCTGCCCAGTGATTTAATCTAATTAAATACCAGAAATATCAAGATTCTGTATTTATAGAAGAAGTTCGATTGGAAGAATCTCGAGTTCTTCAAAATCCTGAATCCAATAGGCCCTTATGTCTATAAACTGAAGCTCCCAGTCTTGATAAAGATTTATTCTGTTTTTCATGTTAATCTGTTATATTCTGTACACGATAATTCTGTTTCTGGATAGTGTAATTTGTTATTACTTCTTGTAAAAGTAGATAGCTTTGAATGTTTTGAGATTGCCAAAATCCTGAACTTCTGTTGGGAAAGAAGAGGTTGTGGAGGATCTTGCCTGAAATACATTATCCATTAGATCGACTACAATACACCAATTGAAGAATCTATAAGCTATCTAGAAGATATACAAGAACTGATCTACAATTTCTATTATAGATATCCTGACAAACCTGGTCTCGCTTGATCAGGCTTTATTTGCTTGTAGATTGTAAATTGTGATATACTGTTTCGATAGAGCTCGATTCTTAGGAGGGGGGTAATGTTATGGTATAAGCTTATATGATATACTAATTCTATCGGAGAGGACTGAAAGGAGTGTTCGTATTGGAGTGCAAGTGAGTTAGAGTCCGATTGGGCTAGTTTGCTGTGAGAATTCCGTATATCTTCAACTCAGAAGATCCTGTATTGTAGCTCTTTGAGCTATATCTTAATCCTCAATCTGAACCTATTACCTGAATCAGTATAGCCTTGCCAGATTAGGGCAAAGTTATTAGAACCCTATCCAGCCCGCCTGCCCCGTGATACATACACTTCAAATGTGACATGTACATAGCATACATAGACTAAACAATAAAAACCTCATAATAACCTAAAAATCATATCTGCATCTACCTAGTACATACTGCATCAGAACACCTACCTACATTCTCATTCTCACTCACCGAAAACATCATCTTAAAATCGATCAGCAAACCTTCCAGACCAGACCACGAGGAAGTTAATAATGTATTTATTCACCGATTTTAATTTTTATTTTATTTTATTTTATTTTATTTTATTTATTTATTTTATTTTATTTTATTTATTTATTTTATTTTATTTTATTTTATTTTATTTTATTTATTTTATTTTATTTTATTTTATTTTATTTTATTTTTATTTTATTTTATTTTTTTTTATTGTATTTTATTTATTTTATTTTACTTTTATTTATTTTACTTTTATTTTCTTTTATTTTATTTTATTTTATTTATTTATTTTATTTTATTTTATTTTTATTTTATTTTATTTTCTTTTATTATTTTCTTTTATTTATTTTATTTTATTTTATTTTATTTTATTTTATTTATTTTCTTTTATTTATTTTATTTTATTTTACTTTGATTTATTTTATTTTATTTATTTTATTTTATTTATTTGATTTTATTTATTTTATTATTTATTTTTTATTTTCATTTTATTTTATGGGTTTGTGGTTTTTACTTTTGTACTTTTGTATATCTTTGTTGTTTTGGGCTATTAGGGGGGTATTAGGGGGTATTAGGTAGATAGGTAATTTATCTTTGACTACCTAGTATATTGTTTCATTGTGTTTTGATATCTTGGGGTTTGGTGTCTTGGGATTTTGGTATCTTGTGTTTTGCTTGTTTTTGAGTTTTTGATTGGGGGTTTTCTCGTTCTTGGGAAGGGGGGGGGGGGGGGGGAATGGGGAAATAGGAAGATAAAAAGATGGGAAAATAGGAAAATGAAGAAAATAGAAAGATAGAGAAATAGGGAGATAGGGAGATAAGGAGAGGGAGATAGGGAGATGGGGAGATGGAGATGTTTATTTGTATGTATGTGAAGAATAGAGAATGGAGGATAGGAGGATAGAAGGAAGGAAAGAGAGAAAGAGAGTTAGTTAGTTAGCCCGTTAGTTTGTTTATATCAAAAGGTAGTAGTAGAATGTGATAGTGAAATAATGATACAGTGAGTGAGAGTGAGTGATGTTAATCGTAAAGTGGAAAGTGGAGGAGAATTTTGGATTTGGGAACTCTTTTGGTGGTTTGGAGGTTTTGGAAGGGGGGTGGAAGGAGGAGGTGAGGGAAGGAAGGAGGAGAAAGAGGTGGAAAGAGGTGGAAAGAGGTGGTGAGAGATGAGAGAAGGAGGTGAGAGGAGAACAGAGTGTGTGTAGAATTTAGGATGAAAAGGGTTTGAGAGTCGATACTGAGGATGAGGGAGGTTTTGTTGGGGAGTTTGGTATGGGATTTTGGTGTTGGGTATCGGTGTTGAGAGTGAAGTTGGAGAGGTATATGATTTATCAATTAGTCGACTCATCTCTATCTCCCATTTCTCATTACGTCCTAGATTTTGGGGAACGTTATCATGTCGAGGTATTTGCGGAAGGAGTTGTATGGTATATGGCTAGACACTACCTAGATCAGATGATACTGTGTTAGTATCAGAAAATAGACGCTTGATATTGGGGAAGGGGAAGGAGAAGGGGGGGTATCTGCTCTTTCCTTAGCGAATGAAGGGGGAAGGAAAAGAAAGAAGAGAAGAGAAGAGAAGAGAAGAGAAGAGAAGAGAAGAGAAGAGAAGAGAAGAGAAGAGAAGAGAAGAGAAAGAATGATTTGTGTTTCTTAATTTGACGAGGCAGTCTCTGAGAGAAAGTGTATAGTGCGTCACGTAAACATATTGCTACATATGATGATAAGTTTCTATGATCGTATGATGTGATTTAAACGTTTTTCGCACTGGGAAGGAAGGATATGAGTATTTGGTTCTTTCTTTGTATTGAAGTTGTTTTTCTGGATAGGTTGAATGTTTGTAATGATTCTATTGTTCAAAGGTGGTGAGTGTATGAGATGGTGTAGATGTTTTTGATGATTTGAATGTTTTAATTGAATTGAGTATATTGGGGGGTTTGAATGTGTAGAATGATTTGAGGGATGGAATGATTTTGATGTATGGGGCTTTTTGGATATTTGAAAGAGGTTGGATGAATGAATGTATTAGGGAGTTTGAATATATCAAATGAGTTGAATGTATGAGATAGTTTGAGTGCAGGAAATGATTTGAATATACAAGACGATTTGAATGTTTGAGATAATTTGATGTTGTTGGTGGTGCTGGTGATCCTGGTGGTTCTGATGAAGTTGTTTGAATGAATGAAGTATTTGGAATATATCAATTGAATTGAATGTATCAAGGCATTTGAATATATAAGATAACTTAAAAATGCGAAGTTATTTGAATGAATAGAATCATTTGGATTATTTGAATCCTTTGAATGTATGAAAGCATCTGAATGTATCAAATCAATTTGAATGTCCCAGTCCCAGTTAATGTAAAGAATCGATGCGAAATTCAAAATTGAGTGGTTCTCGCTAAGCATCAATGCAAAAGGGGAAGGAACAATGACCATGGTTGCTACACACAAATGAGTATAGTGATCTGAATACAGGAGGAGCAATGAAGATAGAGAAGTTAGACTGTTGCTGGATAAAATTCTGCTTCGACTTCGCTCGAGAATCACCAGAACCACCAGAAAGACCAGCACCAGCACCAACAACAGCAACAGCAACAGCAACAGCAACAGCTATGTGGATCATAGCAGATCTCGTTCTTCTTTTCGCCTGCGCCGCTTTTCCCAGCCTTCTTATTGGTGCGTCGAAGGAATGGGTATTTATCCGTCACCTGCAGTTGTTTTTATCAATATTTTTATTTGGGTTGAACATTGTGGTCTTCGCCCACCACCCATCTGTTCTGGTTGAACAGATGATAGCTGCTGACCTGGTGTATTTTTTGCTGGGTTCGCTTGCCCAGGTTGCTTTCTGGGCGTTGGAATGTCGTAGATACGACAGTAAAGATGCTGCCTGGTTCTTTTTCGGGGCTACATTAGCCATAAATGTTTTCGGTTTGGCTAATACGGGAATGAGTATAAGAAAGAATGGAATGACCCCGGCGAATCGGTGGCCCCTCCCAGTGGGTCTGGCTGGACTTATTATTCCCACTATGTTCACCTTGTACGATTTTTTTAAACCAAAAACCTGGTGTCGCACCATGAGATCTTGGAAAAAGAAAACACCAGATCCGGAAGAAGCGAAGAAGGATTGAGTGGAATTGAGGGGAGGGAGGAGAGATGACTGCGACGATGACGAAATATTTTTAATACGCTCGTCGTCTGGAAGGTTTCTAACCAGTCCCTCAGTTTTAGTAGGGTTTTCTTCCGAACTACTGTGGGTGTCTGGGGTGGACCGACCGGGCACGAGTAGCCCAAGAAGAGTTTGGCCTTCGCGTGGCCTTGGGCGTCAGTATTCGAGGACGGAAAAATCCAAATCCAAATCCAAATCCGAATCGACCTCGAAGAAGCTAATAAACTCAACAAACCAACAAATCAACAAATCAACTACAACACATCAAATATCGTATTATCGTATCGCAATCATCATCACCATCATCGTCGAATCGCAAAGAAAGGAACACATATGTGTGTGCACTGTCTTGACTGGAAGTCAAGGAAGAATCTCGTGTTATTCTTACATCGAAACTGCTCAATGTCGTGAACCCATTCGGACATTCGGGAAATTCAAAACTTTGAAACTTTGAAAACTTTACAAACTTTCAAACTTGATTCACAGTCCGGCGGAACTGCATCAGACTTGGTTTCAGCACATTCCAATCAGAGCAAGACTTGGGACATACAAGGAGGGACGAAGAGCATGAGTTTGTGTAGATACAATGAGTATGAATTAGCGGAGGCCCATCGGAGCACGATTAGGGTTGTGGGGAGGCTAGACTTAGCACTAAACCTACCTAGCTCCTCGGGTAAATTGGCGATCAAATATAAAGGACAACTCTCTCACACACTGAGGAAAACATACGACATACCTGTTCTTCTTCCTTGAAAAAAAATCTTCTCCTTTTTAAGTTCGCATCACGATCGCACACATGAAGTTCCCTACAATCGAACCTGAGGACAAATTTGCTCGTGTCCCAAACGCTCTTGCATTTATAGTCTATCGATTCTTGCCGGTTTTCTGTCTTACCACATTCACATGCTGGTTCCTCCAAAGACACAGCCTTCTTGTCAGTGACGGGGATACTTACTGGGTGTTTATCATGACGCTTACCTGGATCTCTTTAGCCATGGGCAGTAGCTGCAAAGGCGAAAATGATAGGAAGGGAATAATTCGTTGTGAAGATTCTATCTTATCCAAAAACTTCTCTCCATCCGAAAAGCTTTCTCAGGTTCTATTGCTTCTCGAATCCTATGATGAAAGTAGAAGTCCAAACTTCCCTTTCGGATTTCCAAGGAAATCATGGACAGCGGAACGAAGAAAGAGAGAAATCCAACTCCAAAAAGAACGCTTCGCAATTTTTCTGTCTGGTTCGCGACAAGGTATCCCGAGTTCATCATCTCTTCGCGAATACCTCTATTTGGTCTTGATGTGGATGGTGACATCTCTCCTAATGATTCGTGTTTTTCCGCCCTGAAATTAGAAGCTGGGACCATTTCCTCGGGTACTTGACGTTTGGAAAGATTCACCATATTCTATATTTCGTCTGCATCCTAATTCTGCTTTGTCGCTTCAATTTTCAATATGGTATCTGGGTTTCCTGGAATGTAGCAACACTGGGCTGGATCGGCAAACATATTCGTTACTACTGCGGAAGGATTGATTACGAAAGGGCCACCGAAAATAAGCGCACAGACTTGGAATGGTGGATTGAGGGGATATTAAGGGACAACAGCGATTCATTTGCGTTGGCGGAAGAAAGAAGACGAGTTATCATTGCTCCTATACAAAGTATGATTCGCGAGAATACGTTTTGCGAGGGACTTACAATGGCCGGTAGAGTAAGAGGTTGTGAAAGGCGTGCAATCTGTAGCGATTGTGAATCTGCACACTGTTGTCTATCAAAGAGTGCCAAACTGCAATAGTCTTTCTCTATCAACAATGATAAGAGCCTTCAACCTATTCCTTTCATTTCGACAATGAAGCCACTTGGTACGACCAAAACTTCCGAGCCATTTACGTTGAAACCGAGATATATCAGTATCCCTAGCGTTTGGACACCGGGACCAAATCGAAAAATCTTCTTTGCAGTCTCGCTAGTATTGTTCTTCGGTTCTCATTGTCTCATTTTATTGTCGTATGGAATTACACTTTGGATCAGCCACAGTTCTCAGCTTGATAAATTGTCCACTCTGCAGCTACTTCGGGTTCTACTCGTATTACTACCCGCAACCACCACTCTCTACCTCTTACAGGAAAGCAACGAAGGCACCTTTTGAATCCTGCGAAGGGACGAAACGAAAAAGGAGTCATGGTGCAAGAGAAATTTTGAATGTGCGACTTCTATAAACGTATTCGCCAAGGGATGGATCTACACGATTAATGCACACAATCAGAGGGATGGATTGAATTGGAAAGCCGCAGGTTCTGTTGTGCTTTGTGGGATCTTGTTATTTAGGAATAATGCTGCTTTGTATGGGATATGAATATAATGGAAGATAATAATGGAAGATAATAATGGAAGATAATAATGGAAGATAATAATGGAAGATAATAATGGAAGATAATAATGGAAGATAATAATGGAAGATAATAATGGAAGATAATAATGGAAGATAATAATGGAAGATAACATAAATCAATAGAAACCTTGAAAAGCATTCTACACTGCTCAGATGAATGTTTGCCTGTGCTCACTCCACTTGGAATATCATATAGACCTGATCATAAGGCATTGCACAGGAAGCACATCCAAGAGCAAAGTGCACAGTGAGCGAGAAGTGAAGGTCTTTTTAATTTTCTATATAATCTCCACTCGATGAATAAATCCAATCCAAACCTTACGACAACAAAACCCTGATTTCTCCTCCAGTTCTCGGATACAACATTCTCAAAGGTTCTCTTTCTCCATCCTCTTCATCCAAACTCTCCTCCATTTCTTCATCAGCCTTAATCAGGCGCTCTTCCACCTTCTCAAAATCATCACAAAATCTCTCAGCCGCCTCTTCGGTAATTTGACGCACCAAGATACTATTTTGTAGATCTTTGAGATTTTCCATTGCATCCATCAATGCTGAAGGGAGGAAATCATCCAAGGTTTGGGAGGCTTGTATTAAAGATGCAGGTTGAAACACTGGGTGGTCTCGAATTTCCTTTGTGGAAGATATGGCTTGTAACAGAGGCTGAAGAGCAGATTTTTCAAGGAAAAACGTGTATTGGTGATCTATGAGAGTGGCAGCGTGTTCTTCGATTGTATCTTTGATTTCTGAAACGCGGGAGATAGTGAAGTCGAAGGGAGCCAAAGTTGCTCGGGCGGATAGGAGACAGTTGATTGTGAAGATCGTGCTCCTGGGAGCTGGGAGATCCTTTGCAATATTTTCGCCGCCTTGCATGAAGGGGTCAAAAGCTTCAGTGAGAATGGGCTCGAAATCCGCTTCTCGAGTCTCAGGAGACGTGAAAGATGTTTCGTATGTTTTCATGATTGCAGTCAGCTGTTTTAGACCTTCGTGGAGGAAATCAGGTGGACTGAGGTTAGGAGGAGCGACTTGGATTTCGGATTGTAGACTGGTAATATGATCGCGCATCAAAGCTCGGAATTGGCGTAATGCAGATTCTTCGAGTGTTGCAAGAGATTCTAGGAGAACGGAATCATCACCCAATAATCTTTTGAATGTACCGCGGTAGAAATTCAACAAATTGGCTATCTTGTATGCCATAATGGTCTCTTCGTGACTTTGTATTACTTGTCCAATTCTTTGACGAAGAACTCGTGCAACACCAGTGACATCCCGATCGACTAATTCATTGAGAGCTTTCAGACCATCAAAATGACCAATCTCGTTCTCATTTTCGGAAATACGGTTCCAAGGCTCGCTATCTAAACCAGCTTGTATTCCTTTTGCAATCTCATCGCCATCTGAGATAAATAGAACTTCAAGTGCCTCTCGTTCGCCTACCGTTGCCGAGTGAGTCCAAGCCAGCATATCACCAACGTAACGCAGCGGATCATGAGCCACTAGTTCGATTGGCTTTATTGAAGGATCTTCTTCGCCGCCAACGGTGGTCCCAGTCAGTGCAGTATAAAATCCATCAGAAAGTATATTTTCTCGTGCTTCAGCAAAGAAGTCGAGGCAACTTTGGAATAATGACGGTCGTTCTGCTAATACGCGAAGAGCGCGACGAATCGAAGAACTGATTTGTGGATTCTCCAGATTGAGAGTCTTGAACTCTCTCTGAATCCATCGATAAAGTTTCTGGAAAGCACCATTGAGATTCTTTGTAGTTTGTTCCATAATCTCCAACCCTAACCGTTGGTTCTCCGTTCCAAGTAAAATCTCACAATCATTTTGGATCTTCTTTGCTTTGTTCAGAATGGAGAAGAACTTATCATTTACAGGCTCAGCTGTTGAAGTAAGTAATGCAATATCATCTTCTGACATAATAAAATGTGCGTTGAAAGCATTCAATAATTCTTGCTTTGCTTGCATTTGTTCCTTTTGCTTCATGAGCTCTGAAGCTTCCTGTATGACGGGAGCTGTTTCTTGATGAGCGGCTGAAATGTGTCGTTTCATTTCCTCACATCCTTGATTGAGAGTAGCAATGGTAAGACCAATGCGTTTAAGTTGCTAAAGTTTGAGATGAGATGGGATTTTCAACAACAGAGGGGAGATGCCTCATACCTCAGCTACATGACCAAATTCACGAATTATATCGCCATTACTTTCAATGACCTCCTTTTGAACATCTAATCTCAACTGCCGTCTAGTTTCGGCAGTGTTCTGTACACCTCGTTTGTCTAACAAGGACAGAGCATCTCTAATATCTGAATCGGCATAAGATGCTGAAAGGACACTCGTGACTTTTGAAGATAATGGATTGGTTCTTGATGTTAAAGGTGTTCCGGGTGAATCAGTTCCATCACTAAACCCCGAATATGACTGTTTTCGAGTAAAGTAATCAGCCGTCATGATTTCCAAGATTCGAATTCAATCCCCGTTTCTTCAACCTTGAGACTATTTTTTAATATTCGCCGTTTTGTTTGTCTCGAACACCAGTTCTACAATCTCTCATGGGTTACAACAAAGCTAAACCATTTAAGGTTGATAAGAAAGCGGTCAGAGTGGCAGATAATCGAGTTGCCCATATCGCATTGAGAGTGGGCGTCATTCACCTACCAGTTCTATCTCGTGCTCTAAATCTCAACCATCGACTTGAAACCGTTAACACTATACAGCTGACTTGAAGATCTATTGACCGTATGGCTGGATTCCTCCAGTAATGTGTCATATTTAATACCCTACCTAACTCACAATCACTCTCAAGGTCGGTTTATTACATTGACCGGATTCAGCTTAAATCTACAAGAGCGATAGCACCTTGCAATCTTGACTAGACATCAAACAGGTCTATTTAAATTCGCAGCACAATCCTATGCATACTCAGTTCGATGAATATTTCTCACGATGATGACCTCCAACCTTATTTCACGGCTGCTGCCTTCGAATTCCCAAGCAAGATCGATATATGATTCATTACGTGCTCACGACGAGGTTTCTGAATCGGAAATAGATGTAGAGGAACGAGCGGCAATGGCACTCGACGAGGAGAACTTAAGATTTCATGATGACGAGTTGGGAAATCTGGCAGATGTGATCGGCGGTGAATCCGTTACAGAAAGTACAAAATTCCTACCTGATCAACAACAACCAACACACAAGCCGGAATATGATCGCAAAGGAAAAGGTAAAGCACGAGCACACCATTTCGCAGAATCGCCTAGGTTACTTGCAGAAGATCCTGACGATGATGTGCCTGCTTCGTTGTTGATAGAGGGAGATAATCGTCATCCTGACCGGGAGGGTTCAGCCATTCGAGCAAGGCAGCCTGCGCTTCCAAAGAAAGCACACGCAATACCGAGACCATCAGCACATCAAATAAAAGATGAGAGAGAGAGAGCTCATTGGGAGATGACGCAGGACCAGCAGAAACTACACCAAGATGATGCAGCCAGGACAACTCCTGTGTCACACACACCACAAGCTATCCCTCGAAATACAGGAGTCTATTTGTCAGGCAGCCCAAAAGATAAAGCTATGTATCGATGGGTTAATGTGACAAATTTGGACAATTTCATCAGAGATTTATACGATTATTTTGAAGGGGCAGGTATTTGGTGTATAGTTCTAGCCAAAGCCATCGATATCCTGTGAGTACATCCTTTCGAAGTGAAGCAAACCGGGCTAATTTATTTTTTGTTAGCACCCTTCTTTTTGTAACAATATTTACGACTTTCCTTACGCAATGTGTCGACTATAAGAAGATCTATCGTGGCAACGCTCGTAGCTTAAGTCATGCGTTGGTTCCACAATGCACAAAGAAGATATCCGGAATTTCAAATGTAGCAATTTGGCTAGTTTGTCTATTTGTTCTCTATAAGATATATCAGCTTTTGACGGATCTCCCGAGGCTTATGAGAATGCGGGACTTCTTTACTTATCTCCTTGAGATTCAGGATAGCAATATGCAGACCGTA